TTTGACCGTCGATTACGATCTTATGGATCATTTTGGAGGTCTCGACGTCGTGTAACACCAGACAAGACTTGCCATCGTTTGCATCGCTGGAGTCGATGTCCAACTCGTAAGCGATGGCCAGTATTTTGCCGTCGGGTCTCCAATCCATGTCCCGAACGAAACACTTGTCGTCGGCGCTCTTGCGGTCGTCGGCGGCGGTCTTGAGCTTCGGTTTCGGCAAATGCCAGACCTTTTGCCACGAAACCAATCGGTGAACGATTACATCACCGCTTCTTAGCGACAGAACTATTAAATCCATTTTCGGATTCCATTTCATGGCATCGATTTCACCCGATATGTGGCCAGAGATGTCATCCAAACACCGAAACGATACCATTCTTCCGGAGTTAACGCTTCACAAACTCATAAGCATTTCATCAAAAAGTTTTGTCCAAAAAACAAAATTCAAATCAAATGTCACAACAAAAGCGCTGACGAAATAAAAACGTCTCAAAACTATCAAACTTTAAAACCCCCTAAAAATAGACACCTTTTATAAACAGCAAAACCCCCACAATTTTAGCCCCCTATAGACCCCTTCCCCTCACATTCGTTACGTATGTTTCGCACAAATAGTCGGCAAACATGTGGACGTAATTTATGAATGACTTGAAGGCAACAAATGCTGAATCACTTGAGTATTGAGTGTTTGATTGAAAAGCGAAAAGTGTTTGAAATAAACGATTGTTTTAACCATTGATTGAATTGAAGACACAATCGCTGACCAGAGATGTCGAGAGGAAGTTCAGCCGGTTTTGATCGACACATCACTATCTTCTCACCCGAAGGACGTCTATATCAAGTGGGTATGTATTGGCGACCACTCAATGGATCCGTTCAGTGATGTTGTAATGACTGGATGTGTTGTCTTCATTCCTCCGCAGAGTATGCCTTCAAAGCCATAAACCAGAGCGCAATCACATCGTTGGGACTGAAGGGCAAAGACTGCGCGGTTGTGGTGACCCAGAAGAAGGTGGCCGACAAACTGATTGATCCGAGTTCTGTCAC